GTTAATTTTCATTTACATTTATGTTTTGAAGCCTATATAAACCCATGCATTGTACTCTCTTTCAATCAAGTGAAATAAAAAGTGTTTTCCTCCATTTTTATTCTCTTCCAAATAAAAAGTGTAACTAGGCCACTATTTCCAACAGTACTGCCCAACAGCTTAAGCTTGGATATATGGGCAAGCGCCCACCCGTTACAACAAACTTCTAGCTAGTTACTACTGTTAACATAATTAGATTATGGCCGTTGTATAGATTGTTACCATAGTTAGATTATACCATAGCCGTTGTATAGATTATTGCCATGATTATTGTATAGTCGTTGGCGATCTCTCACTTATTTATACCTCTCCTTGTACATAATTCATATATACTGGAATATACAAAACATATTTAACATATATCTCTGTATCTCTCTTATATTCAAGATATATATGTCACTTTCTTATATTCAACACAGTATCAGAGCCATGGATTGATGACCTGTACTGAACAGCTTATATGCTTCCTCACCATTCTATCTTTGATCTGTTTTTCACCACAATCTGCACCATTATATATATATATATATATGGGAAAATTACATATAAATGGAGTTAAAGTTCCATATTTACTTAGAGGCTGAGTCAAAATTTCATATTTCTCTAAAATGGATTGCTGAGGTGGCACATGGTTTTTTACTGTTTAGAAATTGTGATGCCTAAAATACCCTTCCGCGAAGGTACTACTTTTTCTTCGAAGGTACTACTTTTTTGAACTAAAGGTACTACTTTTTGGCGTCCAAGTACCATGTTTTTTAAACACTCGCGAAGGTACTACTTTTTCTCCGAAGGTACTACTTTTTTGAACTGAAGATACTACTTTTTTGAACTGAAGGTACTACTTTTTTATTAGGGAAGGGCATTTTAGGCACCACAATTTTTTAAACAGTAAAAAATCATGTGCCACCTCAGCAATCCATTTTAGATAAATATGAAATTTTGACTCAATCTCTAAGTAAATATGAAACTTTGACTCTATTTATATGTAATTTTTCCTATATATATTTTTTTTTCTTATTCTTTTTCTTTTTTTTTCTCTCAATTATTACAGATTATTATTATTATTTTTTTCTTTTTCATCACATATTGCTTTTTGAAGTCAACGTCACTACAGTGGACTCAATACAGATTCCTGTTTTTTTTAAGATACAAATTGCTTTTTTGAAGATAGCTTTTTGAAGTCAACATCAATTCACAGCCATCCACGACACCGACAAAATCAACAGTGACCCATTACCACCATCACTCTCTCTGTTCAATACCAACAGAGCCACCGGCAATTGATTTTTCATCGGGCTCTATCTCTCAATAATCAACGAAGCCATCGGCATTGATTTTGTCGCCGGCCTGGTAAAGTCAGAATTTAGTCTCTGTATTGATCGTCGTTATCAGAATTTCTTCAGTCACTTCCATCCCATCTTAAAACCAATCAACGCTGTCCTCGTTGAATCGCTCCTCTACAACGCCGACACCGACTGCCCTCTGCCACTGCTCTCTCCCGTCCGCCGTAGATCCGTCCACTCGTTTAAATCCCGGCGACCAGTTCGTTCTCTCTGTAGATCTCTGTTCAGTTCTTCTCCGGTGACCTGTCCTTCTCTCTGCCGGATCTTGTCTCAGTTGAGTCTCACACCCTCACCGGAGTTCTGTTCCCCTTGGCCGACAATATCATCTTGGTCTCTGTATTGGGTCTCTACACAATATTTTGTATCTGTCTGGCAGATTATTTTTTGAGAAAGAAAAGATAAGGAGCGTGCTTGATTAATCACAAGGAATGTGGGACCCCACTCTTTTTTCAGGACTAGTTTAGACCTGTTATTTGCATGCCTTGACGTGTGCTCTCTCCAGTTTTTTGTGTGTTGTTTTGCGTGACTTATATAGCTCCTCGTTGTGGATCGATTCGAAATTTCTCATTTATTCTCTGGACCCAATCTATGACCAGCTTTCTCAAAGGTAAGAAACTATGGCACATTGTCGCTGGTGATATCCTTGAGCCCGTGCGAGAAGAAACCGAAACAAAAGAAAAATATGGTGATCGTCTTGAAGAATGGGACAGCAAAAATCATCAGATTATCACTTGGTTTCGCAATTCTTCAAGTTTATCCATTATTATAGAATTTGGTCGTTTTGATTCTGCAAAATCTATCTGGGATTTTTTGAAGCATCGTTACACCACTACTGATCCGCTCATCAATATCAACTTCAGACGAATCTTTATAGCAAAACTCAACAGCCTGGTCAATCTATCAGTACTTTTGTCTCTGAAATGCATGCTTTTTGGAATCAACTATCTCTATCTGAACCTACTTGGTCCCGTGCTTTTAATTCTACAAAATTTACTACCTATCGAGATCGGCAACGTGTCATCATGTTTCTTATGGCTCTTCAGCCCTCCTTTGAACCTATTCGAGCCTCTCTCCTTCATCGGCATCCTCTGCCTACTTTAGAAGAGGCTAACACCAAACTTATTTCAGAAGAAACTCAACTGAGTACATCCCTACCTCAGGCTACAAATGCCGTTCTTGCTACTCATTATCCTAGAAAGAACTTGACGTCATCTTTTTCCTCTCCAAGGGAGTGTAACTACTATCACAAAACAGATCATGTTGTATTAACTTGTCCCATCAGAGTTTGCAAGTTTTGTCACAAGAAAGGCCCGATTACTACCAGAGTAACTGTCCCAAAAGCTGGCAATCTCGCACCAATTCTTCTAAAGGTTCTTCATCTAGACACAATCATCCATCCTCCTCCATCACTGCTGCCACCGCTTAGGGATATTGTCCTCCTACTTCTACAATCGCAACGATGTCCACCAACGATATCGAGGCCCTTCTTAAACAAATTATCTCTAATAATGGTACTCCTCCTTCCACTGCCATGTCAGTTACCTCAGGTAATTCTTGGTTTTTTTATTCTGGCTACTGTAATCACATGACCTCTGATTCTATAATGTTTTTTAAACATCATCCTGCCATCAATGCACCTACAATTCATACAGCTGATGGATCTCATTTACATGTCAATCACATCGGTCAAATTTCCACCCCCAATGTCTCATTCTCAAATAACTTTCATATACCACAACTTACAATCAATCTTATCTCTGTTGGTCAAATATGTGAACTTGGACTTAATGTTATTTTTTCTTCTTCCGGTTATCATATACAGGATCCACAAACGGGGCAGACCTTTGGGATAGGCCGTAAAGTGGGACGTCTCTTTGAGCTCATCCATCTCCGCATTCTTTCTCACCAGTTCTCTACAGCTTCCACTGTTGCTTCAGCAACCTCTACTCCCTCACTTAGCCTTTGGCATTCTCGATTAGGTCATGTGTCTGTTAGGCGTTTACGCTCCTTAATGTCAACTGGTCAATTAGGTTCCGTTAAAAATGATGATGTAACTTGTTTACCTTGTCAAATTGCAAAACAACCTGCTTTACCTTTCAATAAAAGCACATCTATTACTTCTGCTCCTTTTGACCAAGTTCACTCTGATGTATGGGGACCTTCTCCTCACACTACAATGGGAGAATCCAAATACTTTGTTATTTTCATTGATGATTACTCACGACTTAACTACCCCAACTTTACTAATGATTTTGCAAACATAGTCAAAACCTAGTTTTCCCGATCCATCAAGATTTTTCGCACTGATAATGCAATGGAGTATAATAAAACAAATTTTCTAAAATTTCTTTGCCAACATGGCATGATCTCTCATTCTTCTTGTCCTGGCACATCCCAACAAAATGGGCGAGCTGAACGTAAACATAGGCATATCTTAGACACTGTTCGTTCTCTCCTCATATCCAGTTCTTGTCCTGAGCATTTTTGGGGGGAAGCAGCTCTCACTGCTGTATACACCATTAACTGTGTTCCAATGCCTATTATTGGCAATCAATCTCCATATGAACGCTTATATAGGATCCTTCCGGCTTATAATCTACTCAAAGCCTCGAGCTCATAAATATACCAAATTAGAGCCTCGAGCTCGACTATGCTGTTTTTTAGGTTACGGAATTAAACACAAAGGATACAGATGTTGGGATCCCATTTCCAAACATCTTCGTATCTCTCGTCATGTTATCTTTTGGGAACACAAAATGTTCTCTTCTCTATCGAAATTCCATCTATCTTCATCTTCTACTCCCTTTTTCGTTACCGATTCTTCAGTTGAACTCTTCCCAGACGACATAGATACAATATCCTTATCTGAGCTTTCAAACACTATCTCATCTACTCCAGAAATAACATCTCCATTTGAACTCCCGTAAATGGCCTTACCTGATGAATCTGCTTCATCTGATGGTCTTGTCATTGAATCTCCATCTGAGCTCCCATAAATAGCCTTACCTGACGAATCTGCTTCATCTGATGGTCCTACTACTGAATCTACTTCATCAGATATCATTACTACTACTAAACCTCCTCGCATCTGATCAGGTAAGAAAACCTTCTAGTCATTTACACGATTTTCAGTGTTTCTCTACTATCATGTCTCATCATGAGCCTCAATCCTATCGTGAGGCTAGTTCTAACCCCTTTTGGCAGCAAGCTATGGCAGAAGAATTACAGGCTCTCGCACAAGCTCAGACCTGGGACATGGTTGCTCTTCCCTCTGACAAAACTGTTGTTGGTTGTAAATGGGTTTACAAAATCAAAACTCGTTCTGACGGTTCTGTGGAACGATACAAAGCTCGTCTTGTTGCAAAGGGCTTTACCCAAGAATATAGCATTGACTATGAAGAAACATTTGCCCCAGTTGCTCGATTTACTTTTATCCGTGGCCTACTGGCTGTTGCAGTAGCCCGCAAATGGACATTGTTTCAAATGGATGGGAAAAATGTCTTTCTCAATGGCGATCTCAATGAAAAAGTATATATGAAACCCCATCCAGGATATGACCATTCTCTACACCAAGTCTATAAACTCCGTTGAGCACTATATGGCCTTAAACAAGCTCCAATGGCGTGGTTTGCAAAATTCAGTACTACAATTGGAGATTTTGGATTTACTTCAAGCTCATATGATTCCAGTCTTTTTATCCGCAAGACTGACTCTGGTATTACTCTTCTTTTGCTTTATGTTGATGACATGATAATCACTGGAAATGATCTTGCAGGTATCTCTGCACTCAAAAATTTTCTTTGTCATCACTTTGATATGAAGGATCTTGGGCGCCTCAGTTATTACCTAGGCTTAGAGATTCTCTTTGATTCAGATGGCTATTATCTCTCCCAAGCCAAGTATTGCTCAGACATTCTTGCTCGTGCTAGACTTACAGATTGCAAGACAGCTCCCACTCCCATTGAAACCAGTGTCAAGCTCACTCCTCTAGATGGTGCACTCCTCAATGATGCTACATTGTATCGACAGTTGGTTGGCAGTTAGGTATATCTTTCTATTACTCGACCTGACATCACTTATGCCGTGCATCTTGTCAACCAGTTCTTATCTGCACCTCGATTTACCCACTATACTGTTGTACCACGCATCATTCGATACATTAAAAGGACTATGTTTCAGGGCCTTCACTTTTCTTCTCACTCTTCACTTGAGTTACGTGCCTACTCTAATGCTGATTGGGCAGGTGATCTGACTGACCGACGTTCCACTATTGGCTACTGCTTCTTCCTTGGGAACTTTCTCATTTCTTGGTGCAGCAAAAAGCAATCTGTCTTCTCCTGGTCCAGTACAGAGGCTGAATATCGTGCCCTTGCTGATTCCACATAAGAACTTATTTGGCTTCGATGGCTCTTAACAGATATGGGTATTTCTCACTCCACTGGCACAGTTCTCTATTGTGATATTCGGAGTGCTATTTACATTGCTCATAATGATGTCTTCCATGAACGCACCAAATATATTGAAATTGATTGTCATAGTGTGCGTCAACATGTTGCTCGGGGTACTGTACGTCTTTATTCTATAACTTCCGCTGATCAGACCGCTGACATTTTTACCAAAGCTCATCCGCTAAGCAGATTTCGGGAATTAGTTTCCAAACTCAAGTTGGTTTCTACTCTACCACCTTGAGTTTGAGGGGGGATGTTAACATAATTAGATTATAGCCGTTGTATAGATTGTTACCATAGTTAGATTATACTATAGCCGTTGTATAGATTGTTGCCATGATTATTGTATAGCAGTTGGTGATCTCTCACCTATTTGGACCTCTCCTTGTACATGATTCATATACATTGGAATATACAAAACATATTCAACATCTATCTCTGTGTCTCTCTGTATCTCTCTTATATTCAAGATATATATCTGTCACTTTCTTATGTTTAACAACTACTATTACTCTTAAGCACAAATGACAAATTTATTAGCTTCTGTATCTTCGATATCATTCATGAAGATTTGAAAATTTAGTTTTCATGACAACAGTTAAAAAATTTCGTTGAGGAATAAAGTTACTGTACATAAATTTCATGAATTTTCAAAAAATCATTTAAATTCTAGTCAATTATCTAATGCTTATCGACAAACAATAGAAACCAATTAAAATATCCAAACCAAATTTAAATCAATTGAGATATTAAACTCTGAAACTGCAATTAGTTCTCAAATTATTTTCTTGTAGGAGTCCTTTGATCCAGAATTTAAGTTAGCAAAATTTCTTGAGAAATTTTTGTTGGGATTTATATGCCCTGGCATAACAAATTCCTGTTTGGATTAAAGTGACATATGTTCCTGACGTTTCTGAAATATTTATGTTTTATACAATTGGTGAATTTAATGTATTATATTTCGATTCATTATAGAATTGATAGTGTCCATTTGATTACAAGAGATATTTATATATATGTATGTGATGGTAATCAATGCATGATATATAAATAGTAATCATAAATGGTTCATAGTCGGTAATTATGGATGGACTCATAATTAATTAAGATTTGAACTGGATCTGCGTTAGGTTGAGATATATTGCGAGAGCCGTCGTATGCAATTGCTCCCTATCACCGTCATGGCATTTGACTCTTAAGCATGAGAAAATTATAAACTCTTTTATTAATTAATAATTACTTTGATTTGTTCGGCGGATTCTTCGGGATCCTTAAACCGACACTTTGGGTAGTTATGTAATTAATAGTTAGAAGGTTATATTTTCAATATTTGCATCATTGTTACTTGTATTTATTTTGTATTGATTATGATTGATCACAAAGTAAATTCGAAGGCCTTCGTGTGTTTTTAGACAAAATGATTTATTATATATTTATTTATTTAAATTATTATTTTTGTCAAACAAATGTTTTATTGTGATCGAGCCAGAAATAATCAAAGGTATCAAAATAAATATATTAATTAAGTAGTTGGATTGATGGCTTTATTTATCCGATAACTAATTATGCATAGAGGGGTCAAAGTGCAATATTGACTTAGAGGTTATTTATTATTTAATTGGAGTTCAATTAATTTCTTTTAGTGGAGTAGAAATTAATTTATGAATTAATTGAATTGAGTTCATGGACCGGGCCAATTATTAATTCATTGTAGCCAATAAAATAATAGGCCCAATGGATTCTCACTCATAGCCCAACTTGATATTGGAATCATATTAGATTTGAGACATGTGAATTAGAGATTGAGAAGGATTTGTTGTTTCATTTTCTTTATCTTTATGTTGCCTATAAATATACATGGTCTATGTATATTTTTGGGATGATTTTTAGAAGAAGGAAAAAAAAAGGAATAAATTTTCTCTCTCTAGAAAATTAGGGTTAGTGTTCTCATCTAATGGAGGCTCCCACAAGCCTTGTTTTCCAAGGTCATTCATGGAGGCTTATGAGTGATTCCTAAAGACAAAATAATTACCAAGAAGATGGAGATTTAAGGAGAAGGCATCTTGCTAAGGGATCTACAATAAGTGAGAACATTCACTTTAGAGGAAAGTTTTAAAGGTTTACTCAGACCTTTGATGTAAGTATTCAATCTATTAATTGAATGATACATCATATTTTTATTTTTGCATAAAACTTGTCTCTATGTGATGAATCAAGATCTATGAATCAAAATCCCTCGAAAAGTTTTTAAAACTTGCACGTTTCCCAACAGTGGTATCAGAGCATGGTTTGATTCATTACTAGAGATCATGTTTTTATCAAAATTAATCATTCATGGATCCAATTTTGATATGCATATATATTTATTTATTAATGTATGTTAATGTATGAATTAATATATTGATATATAATGATGTATGTATAATTGTGAATGGATGATGATGTGTATTTGGGCCATGGATGAAGCTTATAGAATAATTGAATATAATTTTATCTTTGGATGAATGTAATTAAGGCTTTGATTTAGCCGTTTGAAAATTCAATGATGTAATTTAATTTCTTTCATTGTATTTCAAATTGTAAATATTTTTAAAGTCATGTAATATTCATCAAAGGATGCTATGAAGCTTCAAGAAGATCCAAGAAGGTTAAATTAGGCTTCAGGAATTTTTTGGAATTTTTCCGGAATTTTTCTAGAATATTTTAGGCTTAATTTATATTTTCTAGAATTTTTAAAATATTTTCTGGAATTTTCGTCGATTTTCCGGCGACCGGAGCAATGCCGGCGGCAAGGGACAGCGCTGGAAGATGGACGGATGATCCGGTATGGCGCGGTACACATGCGCGTGGACTAGCTACCGTTGGATCAAAGATCAGAGGGGATTATAATCCAATGTAGCAGCACCCATGGTGCACTGAGGAGGACGCCCGTACAATACTTAGAGTAATTAAATGTTAAAAGTTGAATCCATTGGCCATTTAAATTGCTTCTATCTGTTATTTATTTATTTATCTGATGTATGAAATAATTAATTGTTTATTATTATTATTCATGCATTGGATCCATGATATTTAATTAAATGACTTGATTTATATTAATTAAATTATGAAAATTAATTGGATTTAAATATTAATTAATTTGAGGGCACTTATTGGGAAACGAAAAATCATTTTTGTAAATTATTTTTAAAGTGTGCCTCAAATTAAATAATAGTGAATCATTTAAAGTCCAAATATTTTCTAAATTTAATTGGATTAAAATCAAGACGTTTTGTATGCATCATATCATGTAAATGAATAAATTGAAAAACCCTAATTATAAATGATTAAAAAATTGAGTGGGAGCGTGGATTTTTATACATTGCCCCATGGCCTTCGTTATTAACGCCATTGTAATTAGATCTTCAAAAATAAGGCCCCACGCATAATTTGAAGAGTCTTAATATTACAAGAATGGTTATCTGATGAAAATAATAATATTAAATGTTTATTGTAATTAGATCTTTAAAAATAAGGCCCTACGCATGATTTGAAGAGTCTAGATTATAATGACAAGATATTTAATGTTTTATTTTTCATTAAAGTATTAATAACGTTATACACTCAATCTAAAATCAATAGTGTTAGCTCCCCAACGGAGTGGTCTACACTAGGTGATTTTAGAAAGGTTAAACATAATCGGGAATCATTTCATATATATAGACAAGGCATTATCTTAAGAGATATGGAGATGATGGGATTTGCCCGCCAATAGCAATAATGAACTTCGCCAACCGAATAAGTTATTGGCGTATTGGTTATCCGATTTTTCATGCAGTGGTTAAGGGACCCACATATTATTATTTTAATGGAAGTGCTCGCCTAATAGCAAATGAATCTCAATAATAGTAATAATGAACTCCTCCAACAGGATAAGTTATTGACATATTGATTGGTTGACTTATTATGCTACAGAGTTAAGGGACCCGCATTAATTAAAAGGGATTGTTCACCAATAATGATAATGATCTCTTGTTCGATTGAGATTTATTATATTATGTGGTTAACAAACTCATTTTAATTTTAAATATGCATGGCAGTATTAATAATTCACCTTGCATATTGTATGAATGCATTTATATTCAGATTAATTATGTCTAATCCAGTTTATCTGCTTGCTTACATATTTAATGTAACTGGACCTCATTAATATTGACTGGGAAAGGAACTTAGATATTTTATTTACAACGTAAGGGTACAAATGTATTTACTACTCCTAAACCTAATTCTTTTACTTTAAGATACCCAACAGAACATTAATGCTTTGAATAAGTGAAATAAGGCAAATGAGATGAATTGGTGCAATATTCTAGAGTTTACCTCGAATATGCTCCAAAGCTAACATTTACATTATTTTATTTTCTTCAAGCATCATGTTAAATGTCAATAAGATGTTTTGGTGAGATTAGATAGAGAGTATGTCAAAGTACTATATCAGACTTGAATAGCATTAAGATAGCCTAAGGAACTCCAGTATGAAATCGAATTTTGGAAAATGATTGTTTATTATTTAAAAATTAGCTGGAGATCAATAGGGCTGACTTAAGTGGTAAGTTTCAAGTTGACATGATTATTGTCTTGTTACCAAACTCGTTCGATTCTGTTAGAATGAACTAAATAAGGAATCAATTTGAGTTCACACTCGCTGATATTCTTATAGAATTGGTAACAGATGAAGGGATAATCAAGAGTATGAGCGTTCCTATCAATCTAACCTAGTCTATACCATCTTCTTCTAGGCCCAAGTGGACGAACAAAGCAAAGAAGAAGGATGATAATAGGACTAGGCTAGTACAAAACATAGGTATTCAAAAAGGTTAAAGGGAATAAGGCAGTGTATGTTGAGGGCGAAGGAAATTGTTTCTTTTGCTGCTAACTATGACACTCAAGGACGAACTG